AAAAAAAAAAAAAAAAAAAAAAAAAAAAAAAAAAAAAAAAAAAGGCATTACAGCAGGAAACATGAACATGAACTACTGCTGCAATAGAAATGATTGTGAAAATTTGAGTGTTTCAAATGTCAAAACTGCTTTCTGGAGTTGTACTCTGAGGTTTATACTCTGATGCAGAAGTCTTACTCCCTGTCAATAATTTCACAGGCTGGACAGCCTACACAGAATTAATTTTTACTATCCGCAGATTCAATGGTAAGTAATTATTTCTATGTGTGTACCTGTAAGCATATGCATATCTGTTACACAAAATGCCTCTCTTTTGAAGAAGAAATATCTCAACAGCACTCTTTTCCAGCTTTCCTCCACTGCAGCTCACGTTTACTTGCTGAAAATATCCATATCTAAGTCAATCACACTTAGATGCCAAACAAAATATAAACAATAAAAAATGTGTCAGCCAAAAAACTACAGGACTGTATCCAATCACTGAATAAGCCTTATCATTGTTTCCATCTTCAATCACAATTTATGAATACTTTAGGCCTTTTGAATTGCAATGCTTTGTAGCTGGGAAATAACTTAAATCACATTTATTTATTCACAGTGCAACTGTAAGTGCAACGCTGGCCGCTCTATAGCAGCCTTGCAGGAGACGTTACTTTCGCACATTTTCTGCTTCTTTAGCTATTTGTCGCACCAATGTGGAAGCAAGCAGTTATCGCTTAATCAGTTTACATCACATCCTCCTAAAACAGACTTTCACGAAAGCCGCTGAAAACTATTCCCGGGCTTTGCAGGTCGGGTTTACCGTCCGGAACAGGCTCCAGTGCCCCAGCGCTTGCTCCCCGTTACCGTGCTCCCTGCTCCCGTGGCACCCAGGGAACTTCTCAAACCTGCTCCCGAAACCCCTCAGGTTGCAAAACCCGCGTTTTGCCGCGGTGGGGACCCCCGCTCGGGCCGCGCCGCAGCCGCCCCCCGCCCTCCGCGCCGCTCCGCGCCGCTTCGGCCGCCGCTTCGCCCCGCTCCCTCCCGCCGTCCCGCTGACAGCCGCCGCCCGGGACCGGCAGGCGGCCGTAAGTGCGGTTGTAAAACCGGCTCGGTCTTTCCCCGTGCTGAGGAGGGTGCACGTTCCTCCGCCAGCACCACAAATTTAGCTGGGAGGGGGGAAATTGCCGTGCCCTTGTATAACCGAACGAGAAAACTCTGCACAGCTTCGTCATCCCCGCTTACATCGCCCTCATTGTTGGCAAGACACATATTATTAATTAAGCATAAGACGGGATTACTTCGCACCGGCGAGTCGTCGTGTTCGGTCAAAAAAGCACTTTTCCTTTCAAACTCTTTCATTAGGCTCTGCGTAAACTGGCGAGCTGAAAAGAGTGTTAATCGCTTGATTCCAATCAAATCAATACTCCTCAAACCTGCTTTTTTAGCGTAATTATGCTCATCTCCAGTTTGTTAACCTTTGACTTCTTATGCACCAACAATTAACAGTATTTGTCTACTGGTGACACTTTGAATGGATCTCCCCCAAACAATGGCCTGGTAGAGTTTATTTTCTAATATTCCCTCCTGAGAGAGGAGTTTGGATCTGACAAGCAGTTACAACTGTGCTTTAACCCGTTACAATTATCAACAATGACTCATTAACAACTCACATACATGTAAAAATTAAAAAAAAAAAAAATCCCAACAAACACGTGAAAATAAATAAATTAACAAATAAGTTAAATAAAACGCGTCTATACCTGAGTGAGACAGATTGGAGAATACATCATGACTTCGTTTTGAGAACACGCTGCCCGGAGAGCCCCTAAGAAAAGCCTCAAAAAGGAATAATTTCATCTATTCATTTTACAGTCATCTGAGACTCAAGGAAGATGAAATCAATCAGACGGGGCTCTGCTCTGGATCACCACAACTTCACAACAAACCCCAGTCCTCCTTAAATAGCCAAAGATTCAAGTTCACTCCGTGTGCTAGATTTCCCGGGGTGAAATCCAATCTACACTTTTAACCCTCTTGTAGTCGGCGGCTCAGGAGTCTTGCTTTTGCTGCTGCTGCTGCTGCTGCTGCTGGTTGTTTTGCAGATGAGGGGGGAAGGACTCGAGGGGGTGGGGGGGGTGGGCGGGAGGATTTTTTTGTTTGCCTTTTTTTTTTCCTTTTTTTTTTTTCTCCTTTTTTTTTTCTTTTTTTTTAAGAAGTTGGTGGTGGTGCCGTAATAACACGACACTGTTACCACGCTTCCGAAAGTTCAAGGTTACAGCCCGGAGCGGAGCAAGAAGCTCCCGGACAGTGATGGCAGGCGAAACTTCGCCGGGCCGTCGGAATCGTGCCGCGAGGGCGCGCCAGGGCGGGAGCGCGCCCCGGGCGGGCAGAGCGGGCGGCGCGGCCTGCGGGCTCCTCCGGCGGCCTCTGCTCGCCCGCCCCCGCTCGCTCTGCGGGCAGCGGTGAGACTGCCTTCCAAACGCCCACCTTAATAAAAATGATCTCCTGGAAATTCAAACGACAAATCTCTCCCTGGCGCTCCCACCCGATTTGCTCTCGCCGTGTCCGCGTGTGTGTGTGTGTCCCCCACCCCCAACACGTCCGCCTGTCCTTCTGCAAAACTTGGAAGTTGAAAAATTCACCGGTTACACCCTCTGGACCCTGTTCCAGCTTTCTCCCCAAATGAGACTTAAGTATTTTTTTTTAATTAATTAATTACACAATCACCGCTTACACTCCTCCTACCCCTGCAAACACATTTCTTCTCCACCAGATCCCCTTCCTTTGCCCTCCCTCTGCATTCATCACCACCGAACATTGCAAAAGGAACGAGCAGGTTTAGCAAACATCCCTCCCTCATTTTCCCGCTCTTCTGGTGGGAGAAAGTTGCGGGGGGAAGGGGGGCGGGAAGACGGCGACGGGGGCGGGGAGGCGGGGGTGGGCTGCCATCTGCGAGAGGCTTCTTTTTTTTCTCCTTTCGGGGTACTACTTTGCCAGCTGCGGCGGGGCAGAGACGCCCCCGCTTCCCCCCCCCACCTCCCGCGGGAGACACGGGGGAGGGCAGCCCCCTCCGCCGCCCTCTCCAGAGCGGGGGACCTTGCCCCGCACCGCCCGTGACTGATGTCCCCATCCTTGCAGGCTGCGGCCTGGGGAGGCGAAGGGGGTCCCGGCTCCTGGGCAGCAGCAGGGCACGGGATCTCGTTTCATTCTCCCGGTACAGCTTTAACCGGGGTGGCTGGGAAAAGGCGGGGGAAAGCACTGAGCGAAACTTAATTTCTGCGCCTGTGAGGAGGACTGCGATGCACTGCAGAGCTGAGGGGGCGCCCGCTGTGTGCGGCCCCCGCCCCCAGAACTGCCGCTGCCGACTGCGGGAGCGGCGGCCGGGCGGCATCGGCGTTCCCTCCCGGTGCCAGAACGCAGCCCCCGGCGGCGTCCCGGAGGGACCGCTGACTTCCTCCTTGCCCAAAGTGAGAGTTTATTCACATCAGGCATTTCACAACGACACAACACGGAAAGTAAGCAGGTTCAAGTCAACCATGAAATGGTCACTTTTTAACCCCGTCCTGTCCTCATTAGGGAAATGCTCAAACACAGCCCATTTTCAAAGAGGGTTCTTAATGAGGAGAGCTTGCCAAGGCTACCAGCTGCAATTCCCATAAATTTACAAACCAAAAGAAGCAGAGACATGGGCGGAGGAAGGAGAGAGCCCGTACTAGACAGGTAATGTCAAAGGAAACAGCATGAACCAAACGCATTAACCCTTGCAGAATCCACGCCGCATCCTCGCAGCTCGGCTTCTGGCTGCTCTTGCACAGTTCCCTCAGATTTGCAGGGTTTAAATGCCGTGCGTTTTCCCTTCTACAGATCGAATTGATAAGTTACAAGTTCAGAGCATACACTTAGGCAAGAAGGGATGAGGCAAACTTGCGGTTAACCATAATGAGCAAAATTTATTTTTATATCTGTTGTAGAATACCCCTCAAATCCTATAGTCTTTTCTTTTACTCAGACACTGCAAAAAAACTGACAACACCAGCTTAAAATACTGGAGTTTCCCTCCAAATAAATATTCTATTTAACTGCAGTTAATTTACCATAAGAGACGTTCCCCTTGGCACAAATGCACTGATGTCCTTGAACACACCTCTTTGAGCATTTGAACTCTTACACAACAAGCCATTATTGCAGCCCTGATTTAAAACCAAACAAGGCTCCTCTGTCCCCTTTATCCCTCGTATCCCTCCATAAGTATCAGGGCAAGCTCCCAGCACTACATCAGCAAGACTGCCCCTGTGAGCTGCATAGGTGTGAGGCCTCTCCTTTCTCAGGCAGGGCTTGCAGAAGGCCCCACTCTCTCCCAGGATTTGGCCAAGGCACTGCTTTGTGCTAGAGTTCTGTGCACCAAAATCAAGAACTCCCTGGCAAAGTCCAGCAAGCAAGGAGAGGAGAAGGAAAAAACAAATAGAGCAAGGTAAGGGCAGAGAGAAGCCGGTCACTTTCTACAGCACTTGCTACTGCAAGAGATGTGGAGTCATTGTGAGACTGGGTTTGCATGCCCACAAGAGCTGATGGTGGGTTTGCATCCCTACCCAGAGCACACAAGGCAGCAGATGAGCACAGACAGCCAGCCATTCAGCATGTGCCAGTATCACCCAGAATAGCACTGCTGGGGACCATGACAAAGCCAGACACCCCCACCCCCAGAGCCAGTTTGCTGGCCAGAATTGAACAGGCCTCTCATGTGAAGGCATCTTGGGGTAAATGAAGCTGCCCAGCCAGCACAGCTCCAACAGCACCTTGGCTTCTGTATGATCTAGGAGGCATGACAGGCATAGTTAGTATATGTTGCCATGGGTTTGCCTCTGGTTTGACCCTAAGGCTTCTAGTACACCACTTAAAGTGATCACTGAAAGATGCACCCAAACAGCATGTTTCAGCACTACTGGTCTTGGTTAATCTCAGTGGGAACCCATAACAGAGGAAAGCTTTGTCCTGGGAGAACCCTCCACACAAACGCTTATGCACATGCCTACACCCCCCACCTTCCTCCATCCCACCTCAACCCTTCAGCTCCTTTCACAGGAAAGCAAGCTAAAGATTTTTCCGAAATGGAGAAAGAACTACATTACAATAATAAAAAAGGGTAACTTTCTACTACTTTGTTGCAGAGGTATGTAAAAAGGTGTGTGGTAACTGGGTAGCCTGGAAAAATATGGCATTGATGTAGCAAGGACGGCAGATACAGTGGCTGGGCCTTGGCATACAGGGAGGCCTTGTGAGAAAGGGGTTCAATTGCTTTCAAGTCCTGGCTAGCATGAACTCCTCACACCCCCAAAGACCCTTCTGACCATATACTAAAAATACTATTACTTCTGCAAGTTCTCTGCCCTTTAATCTCCAGCCTTTTTGTCCTCACTGCCAGAGCTATGCCAATATCCGTGCTGTATCTGGAAGTTCAACTAGCATTTCAGTGTGGGCAATTAAGAAAATAAAAGTCATCATCTGACCTTTGTGGTGAGAGACAATGAGAGCTGTTCTCTAACACTAATCCTAACCCATCAGACTTAGAGAACAGGATGGCCTAAGATATCCTGCCTTCAGGTAGGATACAATATGAGCACTGATAGCACGCACTTGGACACACACACAGCTGGGCACAGGCAAACAGGTGCTAGAAAACAAAAATGCATGTTCAGAAACAAAAGGCAGTTTTTATACAAGAAAGTGGCAGATACCAAAGCTGCTTGTGAGTCACCCTCACCGAAAATCTGCACCCTCCCTGCCTCACAATCAGCTCTGGCAGAGGTGGCCAGGATGAGGGACATCCCACACTGCAGGATCTGAGACAGTTCACCTCACAGGAAAGAACCAGAAAGGCTTTTTGACACCTTGGTCAGATGGGCTCACTCCCTACCTCCCATCCTCACTCTCCAGAGCAGTTTTCTGCCAGCGGTGCAGACCTATGTTTTCCCTCTCTCCTTCACAGACCATGCTCACAAACTTTACCAAATGCTGCAAAGTGCCATTGCCCTCAGACCTCAGAGATAATAACATTTAAAGGTTAAACGGTTAGGCGCTTACATGCCACCTAAGGCAGAATTTCAGCTGCTGCCCTTTGGCTGGACAACTTCTCAACTGTTTCAAGTTTTAGAGCACAAGACTTATTATGATGCATCAAGAAGAAAGGCATTGCTAATGCTGAAGTGTGAACCCTAAGATTTTCTCAGAATATAAATTGGCAGTTTGGCCAAATGTCTAAACATATATACTGAACTTATATGAAATCAAGTTTTTATGAACATTCCAGTAGTCTCCATGTGAAAATTCCAGAAGTTTCTTTGTGAAAAGAAAAAGAAAAGAAATAGAAAGATTTTGGTGTATGTCATCTAAAATATTAAGTATCTGAGAACTACCACCAAAACTTTTATGTAAGAGGTCTCTATGATCCAAAATACAAGTTCTGTAGTATTTTTATATCTAGTTTAATAACAATACTGTTAGTTCCTTTTTCACCTTTTGTTGGAAAAGGCCATTAATACACGTCTGTCCAATATACAATTCCTTAGGTACATACATAAATACTGAGTAGCATAAATAGAGTTTAGTTTATGTCAACTATGAGTAACAAATATTCTAAATCATATTATATTATCATACTGTTACCTAATGGTGGTTTTATCTGTATAAGTGATCGTGGTGCCTTTCCAGACTTCTTGTACCAGTGAATTAACCTACAAAGTAAAGTTTTGCCTCTTTTACATTATCAGAGCCTTGGTCACTTTTCTTACGTGCAGGAATGCCTTCTGGGCATATTTGTAGGTATAAGAATATGTATATGAACGTAAATTCAGGAAGAAAACAATAACTAGCTAAAGAAGGAATTGATAATACATTCGTTTATGGGGCCTTGATATTTTCATATGCAACTGAATTGTAAATTATTTATAACTTAAAATGTAAACAGCAAGCAGTACAACTTCTAAGTCAGTGTGGTGTCATACCAATAAAATTATGTATCATAATAATTACTAGCACTTTTTGTTGGGTTTTGGGTAATAGGAAGAAAAACTTACTGTATATAAATTGTGTATATAT